GGAGGTCCTCGGATGTGATTCCACATCTGACCAGAAGTCATGACAAATACTACACACTGTTTAAGGACAAAAAATTTTTTGGATTTTTTAAAAAATATTTCAAATCTCACTAAGTTTAAGCACAATTGCAAGCAATTAAGTTTAGGTTTCTTTTTAAATTCTCAAATGACAGCAGTGTCATAATTTGATAAGATAAAAATTGCATGGTTTGTGGAGTACATTTAGATGTTTTCACGTGAAAATAAAAGAAACAAAATGTTTACCAGAGCTCCAATTGCCCAGTACGTCTTGTTGTAGAGGAACTCCAAGTTTTTGCGTCGCACATAGAGTAGTCCTCCAATCAGAACTACTAGCAAACCCATTATCACAGCACCCATGTAATTGGGTGGACGGAATACCCTGATCTGCAAAAAACACCAAACAACAATAAATGTTTATTTGATAAGTAATAACACAAAAAGAAGGTTAACAGGTTTTACCACTTATCTAGTTTTGAATCAACTAATTTAAATGCACACCATAAAAATACTACTACAACAAAAAGTTGTAGCACAGAAGCAACATGATTACAAAAACTTGTTGTTCAACATGGATAGTTAAGACAAGTTTATGGAAACCACACATACATTAACATCTGTTCGTTCTGCAACCCATCTGGCCAACTGTTCTGCAGAGAAGCCCATTCTACCATGAAAACAACAAATGTTTAAGTGAACAATCAAAAGTAAGTAAAAGGGTCACTAATAAAATGAAGGAGAAGAACTAACATAATGTATCCTGTCCATTACAATCAGTCCCTCAAAAACAAATAAAGGGGTTAAGTTTCTAAAGAAGCTGTGGTGCTGTGTCAGTGGGAGAGTATAGCAGGGTAATTTCCTACTATTAACTAAGTTGATAATGTAAATAGGCCACCATAAAGAGTTTAAAAGCTGACACTTCCAGCGTTAGTCCTTCATCAGAGCAATTGATGCTAAATGTAATCAGTTAGAATTGCAATGTAGATATTTTACCTTTGAATATCATAAGTGTCTGCCTTTTTGGGTTTTCCCTTTGGTGGAAAGTGCATGAACATTGGTGCAGAATTCAATCGCAGCTATAAACAAAAAAACAGTGAGTTGTGTCAAGACACAAAGAAGCTCCAAAGTTTTACTGCAACAGGGTGGGTACCATTTGAAGTAATAACTTTGAAAAATTACTTAAATGACTAGTCTTACCGCACTAAATACATCTGGACCTTCGTCAAAATCAACAACTGCAAAAAACACTTTGTTGGAATACTGCTGAGAATAACGCCAAGAGTTGGCAAGGATTGTAAACTCGTTATTAGCTTCTCTGTTGGATGAAAAAAGAAAAACACAGTTTAGAACTACAGCAACAAGATTTAAACCTGTGTCATTAACACTTTTCACTTTTCTGTCTTGGTCACTCACGGGAGTTAAAGGATTAAGCTGATAATTTGGTTTCAAATCAAACAATATCTCCTTAATGATACTCAGGCATCCTTATAATCTTTCTGCATGTTACTGCATTAAAATTACTTACAAGTTACTCCTTGGAATTAAAGGGTTAAAAATCTGAATCGACAGCTTCTTTAGACACTGTTCAAATTGGTTATTCTCATCACCCAATATCCCCTTGATGATACTCATGCATTCTTGTCACCTTTCTACATGTCACTGTATTGAAATTACTTATTAGTTACTCCTTGGAATCAGAGTGTTAACAATATGAATCAACAGCTTCTTTAAACACTGTTCAAATTTGTTACTCTCATGACCTTAATCCTTTAACTCCCATGAGTGACCAAGACAGAATTTCTCCTTACAATATCAATACCACATCAACCAGATTATAAAGTGATGAGAATAAAGAAAAATATCAATTTGGGGATAATTAGTTGATCCAACGCTAAATTCTCTTAGCTAACATTGTAAGAATTGTATGGTTGAAAGAAAGGAGAATTACAAATTTGATCTGGGAGTTAAAGGGTTAACCCTATATTCAATGTTGATAATGTAATAAGAAATTACCTACCTACAAATGGTACATTGTCTGTGTGGTGCAAGAGCTGTAAGCATAAGGATGACAGAGTAATTCCTTGGTGATGCTCGTAAGTATGTTCTGTATTTGTCTCCATTTAATCTAATGACTGGCTTCCTTTGGTTCCAGTCCATAAGCTGTTTGACTCTAGTTTCCAACAGAGACTGAAAATTTAACAGAACAGTAATTCTCAGAACTAAGTTCATCATTGAGTTCTCCTGTGTGTCTAGGCACATGAGGCCTCGACCAAAGATCAACTTTGATCTGTGTCAGCTACCATTCCCATCAAGAGTAGGCTTTTCATATAAATGTTTGGTTTCTCATTGAGATTTGTTCCAAAGAGGGTTTGTTGGTTAGGCAAAAAGAAAAACTTGGAGAGACCAAATAATTTACTGAGGTACTTTTCCAAGAACTGGGTCAGTCAGACATTGAGAGACTTATAATTTTGAGGGGTTAGCCTTAATACCAGTATGTACCAACTTACATGTACTGGCTAACTTGTTGGTCATTATAAGGAACCATTCACCTCCAAGAACAATGTGAAAAAGATAGTTTTGGCAAAAGATTTCAGTTTAAAAGCAACTTTTGTTCCAGAAAACAAGTGACTGTTAATCAGTTAGGTATATTTTAAATAATTAAATTCAACTTGGAAACTATGAGAGCAAATTGACAAATTTGCAGGGCTAATTAAAAAATTGCACATCAAAAAAAAGAAAAATTTACAAAGACGCCAATTCATTTTTCTTTTTCCCAGCTCGTTCTCTTGGTTATAAGTAGATAAACCGTTCCTGGGTTCAAAACAAATTGGAACAAAGCAGTTTTAACTCACAGAGTGACTATGATTATCACGAGTGAAAAAAGCTTCAATTTACAGGGTTACACAGCTGAAATATGGAAAAAATAATTTCCCGAAACGCTGAAAAGTAAAATTATTCAATAGCCTTTTGTCAGGGGCTCAATGCGGCATCTGTCAATGAAAGCAGGTTATTGACAGGAAGGCTGCAAATTCGGTCAACCGGATCTAGCATCTGTGTTAAGCGTTTTCGAAATATTTGATAACTTGGGTGATCTTTCTTAACTTTTGTTCATTTTAAAAAGTTTCTTACCTCTTTTGAGACTTTCTTCTTGCCATAACAGTCTGAAAGGCCAAGTATAAGTGCTAAGAGAAGCAGCCAACCGCGAGACGCCATGTTGGAGCTTCCAAGTTGGTAACCAGACCCCGTGAATGTACTCCGATACTTGTAAGGGAGGGTGGGGTGGGTGCTAAGATTGGCGATTCTCAGTGTATCACTGCAAAATTTCAACATAGCCTCCTTTAGTAATTCTGGTTCAAACCACCACAGAAATAGCAGGGTAAAAAGACTCGGGAAGGAAAGCAACTCACGAAAGTGTTTTCAAATAACTTTCATCATTGGCTGAGTTTTGAAAGAAAGGCAGTTGGTAAAGTGGAGGGCAGATGGAGGAGGGGGAGGGTGGTTGTCAACAAAGATATTTAACAGTTCATAATAAGGGGTGCAACTTCGCTGCCTGGTTAATTTAGTTTAGTTTAATAAAGTAAAGCTCTAGTGTTGACCTAAAGAAGAAACACTGTTAGGAAAAAAAAAAAAAAAAAAAAAAAAAAAAGTAAAACAGAAAATGTAAAAAAGAGGAAACACTAATTGATGTTAGCATACCCAACCATTTATTGACAGCGTTACGTTACATTTAAGGGAAAGGCCTTAATCAACAAATATTTCAAGGTAACTACAGTGAGCTTCCAACATCTAGTCAGTTTCTGCTTGATAAATATTATAATTCTCCCTATAAAAAAAGACACTGTCAGACAGGCAGAAAATACAGAAAAAGAAAAACAAGAAATAGATTAAAAGAAGAACAAGTAATAATATTGCCAAAGGATTTGGTAATGCCGTATAAAATTCATAACAATTTTACAAAAGAATCTATAAAGGAATCCTTACAGAAAAATTACAAAACAGTCACGGAGGAGAACTTAGATATTTCCATCATGAAATTAATAAGCCTAACAACAACATCAACACACACATTCTAAGCAAATTCCTATGTATTTTAGAACTATACATTTGCTGTAAATATTTCACAGAAAATGCCATTAGATAGCAAAAAGTTACAAAGATTTACAACTATTATCTTCTCTACTTCCATGACTGAAGCCTAAAAGTAATCAAAGTTACTTTTCACACCATCTCTATCCTAATAAATAATAGAATAACTACCCCGATAACTACTTTCAAAAATAAGCATTTTTTAGCTATCAATGGTTTAACAGAACTTTGATGAAGTACCCTTGCACATTACTTTTAATGTAAACAATTCCTCTCTTCTTTAAAAAGAGATGCACACTTAAAACATAGTCTTTATCATGCTGAGGATAAAATACCACATCTCTACCAATAAAGTTGGATAAATAATGAAATTCTCCTTTTCACTAACACAAAGTGAGTAATATTGATTACAAAATGGCACCCAAGCAGCTACAAAGAAGTTGCAAATATACCAACAAACCTGGCTCAAAATGCCACTAGAAAATATTCTCTTAAAAAAATTGCCTTTGAAGTATTAGCTCTAACATATTTATAACAGGAAAAGGTCTTATGGTAAAAGAGGTCAGAGAAAAAATGCCCAAAGCTTTTATCATTATACTTTTGCAAATACTTCAAAGCCATCCAACCTAGATGCTTAAAACTGTTTCCAGATTATTCAAAACTATAACAAAATTTGAAAACATGGTTGCCTTGTACACACTGTTTTAACTCTGAAGCTCTTATGAGTGACCAAGACAGAATTTCTCCATAGAATATCCACACAATATCAAGTAGACAAGTGACCGCGATAGAGAAAATATCATAGGGGATTATTAGTTAATCCAACACCCAATTCTCCAGGCCAAGATCATAAGAGTTGTAGGGAGGACAGTAAAGAGAAGTATGAATGGAATCTTGGAAGTGAAAGAGTCAAAGACTTTTAGAGTCATTTTCTTATGGCAAAAAATTCAACTGTTATATTTATAAATCTGATTTCTTTCATCCAATGGGTGTTTTGTTTCTCAAGCTTTGCTATAGTTTTAATCAGTTTGCAACAGGACTTTGAAACAGGACTTGTGATTGTCAAAACACACTTTTTCTTTTTGCAGTTTTTAGATTTTGTCCATCACTCATATGATTACAGCCTGAATTGGACTCCAATGAGTCCTTATTACAATGTCAGTTATTATCTGTAATCCTGATTACAGCTATCAACCCAGCTTTAATACAAAATTAAACCATTCTTACTGCCATGTTTAGGCAAGTCGTTGGAAGACACCATGACATGATCCATAGGCTCTTTGCAAGTCACATGGATTATAAAAAGTTTACTCCAGAACACATTAATCACAAATACTGGCACTGCTTTGGCAATGGCTTTGAGCTGCTGCTAAGAAAATCTTTCCATTTTTACAAATGCAAACTTCACGGGCATTGGCAGCAGGTGAGCCACCGGACCCTGTGTAAATTTTTAGATTTTTAAATGACACATCTTCTGCATCCAACACAACCTACAGAGGAAATAGAGGAAGATCAGTTTTTTCGGATTTTCAAAAACTTCCTTCATGTTGATGGAGACCAGTAAATAATACCCAAACCCTTTACACTCTAACATCAGTATGCATATTCTCCATACTGTTCACCATACACTTCTTTAGGAGAATTTGTTTAACCATCAAGAACTTCTTTCCTTTATTCTTGTGACCTTCATGTTTGATTCAGGGGTTATATTGTAAGGAGAAATTAACTGCTAATCATTCTTTGGGGTCAAATGGTTAATTAATGAGATAAAAGACCAAGAAATTTGTCAGTAGTTATACCTTTCCACTCATGGATTTAATTGTCACATCCTGTAGGCTTGAAATTCTTACACTGCCAGCTGCAGATTTAAAGCTCATGCCATCTGGAGCATCCATGTGCAAGGACCTTGTCAAGGAAGCCAATCGCAGGTCTTTCTTGGGAGGGGCCCGAAGACTCTCAGTCTCAACTGAACCACTGAAATGAGCTCCATTTGGACCTAAAGCATCAAAAGAATATCTATGTTATAAAATTGTGAACATGCCTACTTTTTTCCTTAATTTTTTTGGGAGGAGCAATATGTGCAGAGGTGAGAGTACTCATCTGTCATCCCTGTGACTCATGTCCCATTCCTGCACCTAACATCACAAGTAGATTAAGTTTGTTGTTGGTGACCTCCTTACTTATAGGCTTCCTCCCCACTCCTTCAGTTTTCCTCCCTCCACAAAACCCAACCATCAAAAATCCAGTAACACCCTGGAAACTATCATGAAAGAACCAGGCCCTACAAACCCCATCACTAAATTCCAATTCATTTATCACTTTTTTTATTACCTATTTTAGAGGGTCATATTCAAAATGATCTGTTACAAGCCAAGAAACCTAGGCTAATGATCAAAGAAAGGGCTCTGTTGCTTCAAACTTTCATGCAAGAATAATGTGAAAGGACAAACTTAAGTATCTTCTTAACCCTTAAACTCTTATAAGTGACCCAGACATAATTTCTTACAATATTGATACAATATCAGACAAGTGATGAGAATAAAGGTAAATATCAATTAGGGGATCATTAGTTGATCCAATACCATATTCACTGAACTAATATCATAAGAATTGATAGGCAATCAGTAAGGAGAATTACTAACAAGATCTTGGAAGCAAAAGAGTTTACAGACTAATATTACAAAGGTCCTCCATGGAACATATAATCTCTAACCCTTAAACTAAGAACAGTTCAGTGGTTTCCTCAGACTTACTTGAAAACTCCAACTTATCAGCTGCAAAGACAATTTTATCTTTGTCAGCATAGAGTATATTTTTTCCTTGGTCTGTCTTTATAGAAAACTTCTGGTTACGGGCCACAACTTCATCATTTCCTATAAAAAGTTGACCTGTAATATTTCCATCTGAGTTGCGGGCATTTACAGTCACATTTGCCGTGGACTGAAGAGTAAGTTCAGAGTTCTGAAAGTGAGTTAAAATTAGGAATATGTCAGTAACTCCCATGCAATGGCTGTGTGGCTCATTGACACAAAAATACTTTACCTGTCTTGGTCGTATCATGTTTGCACGTAAGTCTTTGACAAATTCTGCTTCGCCATACAGTTTCAACCCTTGATCAGTTATTCTTAGTTTGCCCATACCATCCTAAAAATAAAATGAAATATAAAAAATTTAAGCAATAAGACATAAAATTCCCACATGGAGGTTTCCTTAAGAAGAAAATGTGAAAACATTTTTGAACATTGTTGAGATAAAAGAAAAGACTTAAACAATTACCAGGTTGAAGTCCATAACTCTCATGACCCAAATGACAAGAGAAAGATTTACAATGGTAATGACCAACAAGACCAGAATAAGGAAGTAGATGAAGCGTTTTCTCCAGCCGTAGATACCAATCATGTAAACTACAGTTGCTGGGTCTTGGTTGTTCCAATCAACTTCCTCTGTCTCTCGTGACGGCATTTTGAACAACCTTCAGCTTTTACAACCTAGAAAGAACTAAGCAATGAGGAGTTACATTAGTACATAACTCTTACTAATCAAGTTCAGGTTGTTTAAAGGTTAGTTAGTGCTAACCCAAGGTTAAATTTGAATCCATTTTGGGATAGTTTTCTCTATTATTTTTCGAGCATCCAATAATCAACTTCTACTCAAGAAGAATTATACTGAATTTTTTGTTAGAGCCTTGAGACCTGATATCAGATAATCCACACTAATCCTGGGTCATCTTAACCCAGCTTTGAACAACCTGGCCCTGTACTGTAAGTTTAGGACAGAGCCAAAAAATACAAGGTTCCATAACTTATATCACAAACCATGACAACAAGGTTAGAAGATAGCTATTTTATCTCTGGGTTCAAATAGAGGAGGAAAATCTCAATTCAAACAAACTTTTGAATTTAGCAAGCCACAAAGCAAAATACAGCCCACTGATTGGCCAATCAAAGCCCATGTACTGACTGAGAGATGTATAAATAAGTCTGAATTTTTCCTTATTTTCCTACTTCCTCTCCTCGTCATGCCAGATTCTAATGCTAACAATAATTATGGCTACAAATGTTCTGTTGAGTCCTTCAGAGTTCAAGACTTTGTATTATAAGTAACAGACCTACAGCAGTTTTTCTTTTATAATTTATGGCCCATATGAAGCTCATAAGTCAAAACAGGAAAAACAAGGATCTGCAGCCTATTGTACAAACTAAGGAGACAACACTAACCTACTAACCCCTTAGAGTGACTAATATCTAATTTCTCCTTACAATATCACCCTGAATCACACATTAAGGTCACGAGAAAAAAGGAAACAATCACTAAATAAAAAAGCTCCTGATAAACAGATTCTCCTTGTCAGCACCTAAGGAAAAGTATAGAGAACAGTATGGAGAATATGCATACTGATGTTAGGATGTAATGGGCTAATAAGACATTTATCATATCTCAAATATGCATCTCCCAAGCTCAGGAAACAGTTTCTGGGTTTGTCAAACAGCTTCAATTATCTGCTTAAAAGTGAATCATTTCTACATCCCTGTTCAGTCACTGACATATTTTAACAAAACATATGTTAACATGTCATAATCAAATTTCCTAAATTTCCCACTAATAACCTCTCTCAACAGAAAAAGAAAGTATAGCAGAACATCTTTTCAGAGCAGGTGCCCATTTCTTGAGAGTCCCAGTAACTTTACCGACCCAAAGTAATATTTTTTAATCTTATTCAAGAAAATAGAATGTAGATTTTAGCTTAGGTACCACTCTACTCTATTTCACTTCCTGATATTTTAATTGTATACATTTCAAAACTGTCAATATCTTGATTGCTAATGAAATGTAAAGAACAAAAAATCTCCTATCCAGGCTTTAAAAGTTACTGGGTCTTTCAAGAAACAGCCCCCCAGGAGTCAATGATTTTGCAAATCTTAGTCTCTATTATCAGCATTTTTACCAGTCATAAAAATTTTTGCTCATTTCTGAAGAGGGCAAATATACCCAGCCTCTACATGAAAGACTCTTTTAAATATGTTTATTGTCCATCTGAAAAGAGTAATTACTGATCAAAACAATTCCTTTTACCTTCATCTTTGAAACCTAATATCTAAAGAATGCGAACAAAATTTTAAAAAAATCTATGCCACAGTGCGCAATTATCACCTCTGTCCTTCTATTTATGAGCTACATGATAATATTTCCTGTGGTAAACACCCCTATTCCCATTTTGATACATGGTTTTCAGCTATAGTAAGAGTTGATTCCTACCAATTACAAGCTTCCCTACCGATTTGCAAGAAATAACAAGCATTTTTAACAGTATGAAATAAGTCATGTTACCCATCCTATATGTAGGAGGTATACAATTATCAAAGTTACAACTGCTACACTGTGAAATTAGTGAAAAAAACCTTGGGTGTTGTGAGAGGAATCTCAAATTTAACTTTCAAATGTCCTTGACAATTAATTGCGATACGTGTTTACATCGATTTAATGCAATTATTAAGCTAATGTGCTCAGTTATTTTCAAACTCGTGATGAAATATTAGAAGAAAATTTAGCGTACCTCTTGCAAGGAATTCAGAAATTTTTCCGATGACAGTACGGCAAGCAGGAGAGATAATGATATCTTTAAGCTTTTAAGCGACTTAACGTGTGGCTTAGGTGTACACGATATGGAGATATGAAGAAATGTAAGCTACCCATTTATATAACGTTGAACCTAATATTCGACGAAAGTAATTCCCTAATTACAAACACTCCGTCACGAAATTAATTGATATAGTAAACGGCGACAGTTTTCTTCCAGAGCTCTAGGATACAACGAAGCTTCAGAACATTTAATTTTGATTTCCTTTTTGCGGTTACCGTGGGCAGAACTTTCCAAACGCACAGCATCGAATTTTCAAATTTGCCTCATTCGAAAACTCTATGATACGCACGTACTCTAACTATGGAACGACAGATTTCTTTCGGACACATCGACTTGTTTTGGTTTCATTTACGTAAAAGAAGTCCAGATAAATATCAAAAAACTTAGTGAACTACACAAATGTTCTCTGCTTCAAAATGAAAGATGACAAAAAAAAATCATTCATGCAACTCCGATCATTGAAAATGGAAGCAATAGATTGGGAAAAATTGAAAACTGCGCTCTCACTCTTGTCACTAACTCACAAAATCGACATAACATAACACTAAACTAAAATTTTGCTTACCTAAATGACACTTGTCTCGTCAAGAGCTCTTGATGTAAATGCTGAAAACAGAACACACAGCAATAGACTACTGCGGTAGGAACTGTAAACAATCGTTAGGGAACGAGCGACGCGTGAAGAATTTTTGTGGTTTGCGAGGCTACCAAGCTAAGTGGAATTTCGCGCCCTTTGGAATCTTGTTTCCGGAGATCGGGGAGGGGGTGATATCCTTACTAACACAACTTAAGTGATGTTTGGTTTTTTTGATAGGGAGATACCCCTGCTGAAACAACATCGTCCTTGGTAGCCTGTTTATAAATACGAAAAAAGGATGAAATTTTGTCCTTCCTCTTCGTTGGTAAACAGGCGTAACCCGCTGGCGCTGACAGAAACCTCTCGTTGGCTTACACCTCCCGTGAGCGGACAATAAGCAATGGCTGAGGCTTGGTCCCAGAGGAGGAGGGGGTTTGACTGCACTTTGACAACTGGCAGAGATACATGAAGAAAAATTTATTCCATCTGATTGGCTGAGAAAAGTGTTGTTTCACTAATACTACACACAAGAAAGATAAAACAAAGCAGAAACTACGTGGCTCTGTGCAAAAAAAGTAGAAAACGTATTTTTATATTGGACGACCGTTGTTTAAACCGAAAGCACAATGATATTTGTAAGGCTTGAATGAATCATTTTTGCATGTGACTCGCGCACTTTGCCTTCTGCGTATCTAGGAAAAGCTATCTCAAGTTCATTTTTCATGTGTTTCATTTGTGAGTAATCACGTGATTTTTCTCGTGCAATTTCGACAAAATTAGCACCCGAATTTTTTTTTCAAATGCTTTAAATCGCACTTTTCCTTTCGACTCGCGCTATTTCGTTATTCTTTGAAAAACTCTCTTGTGCTTCTTCACTCAAAATCATGTGATTACCTGTACAAAGACTACAAAAAAGTATAGGGTCGAATGTGAAAAAGGGAACAAGCACGGCTGTCATAGTACCTCTGTAAAGTTAATTATTACACTTCTTCATTTTAATTTATTTATTCTTATTTAGAGTCTTACCAGGGGCCAGCATTAATTTCTACCAAGAGCGAAATGAAACGAGTAAATCCACTGTCAAAGTGACGTTTTTACAACACCGTGAGAAACTAGATAAAGAAGCAGCTCGTTGCGCACGGTATAAATCATTGGCAAGAGATGACACTTCATCACTCTCACCAGCAGATGGATAAATTTCATCCTGTCATCTTTTGCTGAAGTATAGTAATGTATAAAGATTAACTTGCATAAACGTGTTATGAAATAAGACACTTCCGTTACAGTTGAATGCAAGGTTCTGGAGCTTTCAGCACAAGGGAGAAGCTTCTTTGTAAATAATTAGACTTGCGTGAAATATTTTCTATTTTGTCCGCGTTCCTTAGCTTATTTCACGTTGCCAAGCAATTTACTCAGAGTAAATATCCTTCAATTTCATGACATCCATGTTGAGAGAGGACAGTTCCGTGACATAGTAAAGAGATCTGGGTAGAACTTCATCAACTCATTGTAAACGGGAGTTACTACATCACGGGCGACGAGTGGGGGATGAAGAAAAGACCGAAATACGAGTGGTCAGCGGGTAAACAAATTTAATACTTAACATAGAGACATATCAGTTATAGTTGCGGAAAACAATAGTCTTCTAAAGAGTATACTTCGCTAAATAAAATGTTAAGCAATTTTTCAAAAGTGTTGATGGCACATATATCTTTTACTGCTGTAATAAACAATGGAGGTATCGGAAAAGGCATCGGTGGCATCTGGAAAGACACCAAGAAGAATTATATTTAAGTTTTGTAACTTGCTGCGAGACGAAAAAAGAAAACCAAAACCGTGGTCCCCAAATGAATTCTCCCACCTTGCCCCAAAAAATTTTCAAATTTTCCGCAACTTCACCAGTTCCTATTCGTAGGTCCGGCCAAGCCTATATGGTCATTGGCTCCCGTATAGCCACTAACTATGGCTTATAAATACAGTTATTTAGTGTTAAACTGTAAAACTCCCCGAAGAAGTCTACGACAGTTAAACGAAACGCGTCGGAGAATAAAGAAATTTTACAACTACCGTTCGCAGAGTGCTGCTAACCAGTTTAGTTTTAAAGATTTTTTTTAAAAATGTGGTACGATAGCTGTGGTCAGTTTTTCCATGCAGGTTGTCTGGATGTACCTTTCGCAGAGACGTAGGGGGGCAGAGACACCAACACAACATTTCACCTGCCGTTTGCTTCGAAAGTTTTCATCCCGAGTTCATTTGTCAAATAAAAAAAATAAAAAAAACACTTCGAACGGAAAACAGAATTATTTTAACGCCTGGGTCTTTTGAAAAAAGGTCTCCTAAACGAGTGACCCTGATTATAAATATTTAAGCATGGTAAATACATTAGCCTTAACTTGGCTGTTTCTCGAAGCTCAGTGTTTTCCTACATGCCTTTTTCACGTGAAACGAGGCGACTGAATATATATAATAAACACTAAAAGAACTACAGCAGATGGAAATTTAAAATTTCTTATCTTAAGGCTGTGGATACAAACTTATTAATGACTCTAAAAATATAAAAATCTGGAACGAAATTTTTTTTAGAGTTGCTTAGCTTTACATTTTTCCGGAATCGAAAGTCGAGATTGCAAAATTCAAGTGAAAAGCAAACCGACTGTGATTAATGCCTTAAACAAGTCAAGATACTGTTTTTCGTCAAACAACAAGTTACATATCGTAAATATCATTCTTCTTGATGCCTTTCCCGGTGTTACTGATGCCTTTCCCGATGCCTCTGTTGGTAAATATAGCAGTAAAAATATTGTTCCAGTCAAAGCGTTTGGAAAATTGCTTAACTTTTGAATTACCGAAGTATAACCTGGTAACATTTTGGCTTTACAACACGATTGTTTTTTGCAAGTTAATAAACGTAAATATAATTTTTCTTAGTGCCTTTCCAAATGCAACCGATGCCTTTCCCGATACCTGCATTGTCTAATGTAGCAGTAAAAGATATATGTGCCATCAACACTTTTGAAAAATTGTTTCACATTTTATTGAGCGAAGTATACTGTTCACATTTCGGCTTTACAACACTATTGCTTTCTGAAACTACAACTTATATGTCTCTATATGAAGTATTAAATATGTTTTCCCGCTGACCACTTGTATTTCGGTCATGAAACTACACGTTGCAACAGTAGACTAGTAAGTACGGCTCAATGAAATGAAACCTTTCTGGTATAGTGATCTCATACTGAGAACCTGAAAACAGTAAGTATGATGAAAATCGACTGAATTTTACCTTCGAACCTTCGCAGCTTCGCCTTACGTTGGGGTTGTAAATAGAAATTTTAAACCTTATTAAGTTTTTCTTTCGATTATGGCAAAAATTTCGTTTTAAGTTGATAGTGATCTGTTTTAATTCAGTGTAGTTTGCATGAAGATGCGAAGCTCGCATTTAATAGGAAGCGAAAGTTGTTATCCTTCTCGTCCTGCGGAGGAAAGTTAAATAAAACTCAAAAAACGTACGCAAACTGACATTTGCTGTGCGTTGTATGAGAAGTTAAAACGAAATGAATATCACGAATATTGACCACTACAAAGACAAAATTGCCTCATAAACTCAAAGCAATCTTTTATCCCAGGAATAAGGAATGCCTTGTTCAAGACGAAACGTTTTTAACAGCTCTCGCGAATATAGAGAGGAGCTAGAAGATTTTATGTACTCAATAATCGATAGAGTTAGCCACGCAAATTGTAACGGTTCATTGAATTCTGTCGCGTATGACGCTACAAGACCTCTTAACCTTCAAAATTAGCAAGTAATCGTTCAGCCTCAAAATTATTCCTTTCCCTTAGCAAATGGCGGAAAAGAAAATAGTGTAAATGTGAGTAGATCTGTGTGGCCTTCACACCATCCAGCTTTTAAGGGTCTTCGATTTTAAAATGCCGACGATCATTAAATCTATCGCTAGCCTGTTTGTGGGCCAATATATTAAGTGATATAGCTTCACTTTTTCAAATTTAGTAATTAAGTTATTTTTCGTAATAAACTTTCTTAGCAGTGGAAAAAATTTCGCCGATCAATTTGAATCAATTGTCGCAGTAAACGTTTGTGAACATTTTTTTAACCTGGAGTTCCCAGTTCATATGTCAGAAAAATTTTTGAAGTTAATCAAATTTTATTTTCAAAGTTGTTTACTTAAATGAATATGTAATTATTCTTAAAGAGAAAAGCTAATATAATGTAGACCCCCCGCTTGTGATCTTTGTTTCAATGCACGTAAATTCGTTTTCCTTAGCGCTGTTATCTTTTCATCCCACGCACAAAGCTTTCTCTCAAACTGTTCAGGTTTTTATGATATTCAAATGAATGCAAGAATCGTCAATAACCCTGAGAAACGGAACCGGAAATACACAACATCGCGGGGTATTCTTAGCTTCCTTGTCTCTTCTGACTGACTTTAAGGGGTGATGTTTTTCTGAGGAGAGGAGTGTTTGCGTGAGAAAATGTAACCACTGTTACCATATTTTAGATTCACGCGTATTTTTGACAAATATTGTATAAAAGCAATGGAGGCCATTTTCCGTGTTAAGGAGGCCTGGTCTAAACACTTGAGGAATCTTGAAACTTTTGCACACACTTTCGAGAATTGTTTAAGCCCCCTCTCCTCACGCGTTTAGAAAAGGTTGTTTCAATACGGAAAAGTTCTTGATTGCTTGAACAGCTCATATCATAATCATGCTAATCGTCTTTCAAGCTGGTTACATTAGATTTGAAATAATAATGAAAAAACATTTTGTCCAGAGCATGACGAGATCAATCCAGTTCTAATTATTCTCTCTTTTTTTTGGAATCATTGTTTCGAGAAAGAAGAAAAGTTCTCCAGTTTTGACGCAGCCCTCGTCCGTCACCCATTCACCTCCATCTGACCATTTTTCAGCGAACGAAGATCGCAGACAGCATCTGTGTGACGTCATACAATTCGATAGCGATGATGAAAATGAATCGGATTTCGAAAAAAAGTTGGAAACGAACGAGAGCCAAAGTGACTTGCAGACACAGATAAATGATAAGATGTCCAGTGAAAGTGAAGTCGACGACCATCCCTCGGGGTCAGCGGCTTCCGTAAGTTCCAAGAAGACTGACAAGGAAGATCCAGGG